TTTTACTATAAATTAAAATTTTAATTATTTTAAAAATTAATATCGATACACACTAATATCTTAAATAAATATCACCTGTTATCATATTAATTGATAGATATCATATTATCAATTTATAATATGTCACAAGATTATAATAGAACATTATATCTATTAGCATTACAAAAACTTAACAGCTGAGCTTTCCTTAAATATCCCATAGTAAACTCCAATCTCCTCGCGTTGGCATTCCACATTTTCGGTCACAATGAGTACTGTTCCGAGCGGTCAACGAATCGATCCAGTGACGCTGGATTTCCGCGCTCTTCCCGCCGATTGCTTCGCCGCTATCATCTCCTTAACCAGTCCTCTCGATGCCTGTAGATTGTCACTAGTTTCCACCTTTTTCAACTCCGTCGCCAGTTCCGACGCCGTTTGGGTTAAGTTCCTACCGGCCGACTACCAGAATTTGTTTCCCGCATCGCACTCCGTTTCCTCCTTGAAGGACCTTTATCTCAACCTCTGCGACCATCCTGTACTCATTGAAGATGGCAAAAAGGTAACTATATACATCCCGACTCTCACCTGTCTTTTGATCTTTGCGTTTCCGTGTCCCCATGTAATCCTATTGTTTGGTATGTTGTGTTCACTGGAGAATGATTTACTCCATTCTTTGACTCTTTTTAGTTCTCCAAACTCATCAATTTTACACAAATTAATTTGGTAATTTTACATAACAAACAAAACATAATTGAAAAAAAAAAAATTAATTGAAAATACTCAATAAAAATTATCCATAGAAAAAAAATTCAATTACTCCATCCGTCCAAAATAATAGAGTTTTATTTTATGTTTAGACTAAGAACTTGGGGACAATTAGGCGGACTGTACCATTGATGTAAGGGGACTCTCCCAATATAAGGGCCTGCCCCTCATCAGTAGTTATAAGATGTACATTTTGCCCCTTGGTTATAGTATTACAGTATGAGGACGGACTACACATCAATTCTAATTTGCATAAGGTCAAACTTTATGCAAATTTCAAACTAGAATAACTAAATCAGACTAGAGAAGAGAGAGTACATGTTTTCTTAATAAGATCTTACTGTCCTAAATCTTACAATCTTAGTTAGTGTTAATCATTGGCTCTTTTCAGTTTTTCACTCAGCAAGGTACTTGACTCGATATGCATTCACTCGACATATGCATATTATAAGATTTCATCGTTTGGATTGAGTATGAATCAACTCAGTTTGTTAGCTTAAAAAATTCAAATTCTGATAATGCCTTTCTTTTTCGATCAATTGCTGTGTATAGCTAATTGAGCTACGTTTTTACCAAAAAAACCTTTGTTGTAGTTAGCTAAACAATACTTTTAACATTTTTTTTAACAAACTTCTTGAGGACTTATAACATTTATTTTGTGTGTGTAGCTATATATGTCGTGTTAAGAGGCCATGACTTGGTGTAATTTTCTTTGGTGTTGATGGTCCTGAAATTCATGTCTATATGAACCAGCTAACTACAAAGATTTTTATTGATATAATTTGCAAAACTTACGGATGTGTTATTAGAATTTAGAAGAATGGATGCAGATGTATACTATAGTATAATGACACATCATATTTGTACAAGGCCATGGTTGGTGTATTTTATTGGTATTCCGAGAGTTAGCTCCGTGGCGTTATAGTGTTACCCCAAATCACGGTGATCAAGAATAAAGACTAATTAAATAAAAATAGCTTAGTGCTTTTTAGGCAATTTACAGAACTTCATGGTTGTTGCCTATGTTTCTTAATTCTTATGTACTATGCTTTGAAAGACAATTATGCTCATGTTGTTAATATAATGATTAATAATTTTTATGTCCTTTCTATGGTGAGTTTTATGTGATCCTTTTGTTCATTGTTTAATTGGTAGACATCTTGAATTGAAGCTGATCAGTAATCTTTTCCATACTATTATTTTGCAATACTAGTGTTGAGTCTCTAATCATATCGCATACATTGCACAGAGCTTTTCGTTGGACAAAAGAAGTGGGGAAAAAGTTACATGCTAGCTCCCAGGAACCTCGCAATTACATGGGGTGATACTCCTCGGGTTATTGGACGTGGATCTCCAGACCCAATTCCAGGTATCTCTCTCAACCCCACAGGAAACACAAACAAAAACATGCATTACACAAAACGCATACATACATTTAGTCATTTAGAACCAAATTATTCAAGCAAGCCAACATGTGATTGCTTCATAAAATCTCCTTTCGAACCTAAAACAAATAGATATGTGATAATATGATTCATCATTCATGCTTACAATTTTCGAACAGGTTTCCTGAGGTTGCGAAGCTTCTTGTTGTCTGTTGGTTCAAAATCACTGGGAGGATTGATTGTTGCAATCTTTCCCCGATGACACATTATAATGCCTTCCTAGTGTTCAAACTGGGAGCCCATACTATAGGATTTCAGAATAAACCCATGGAAGATACTGTTGGAATTGGTGGAACTCAAGTTTCAAAGCGAATTTTGTATGTTATGGATAGTGGAGATGTAGTAGCGCAAAATGGTGATCAGTACCCAAAAGTGAGGGGAGATGGTTGGTTTGAGGTAGAGTTGGGTGAATTCTTCAATGGAGGAGAACTTTGAAGAATTGGAAATATATATTTTCTCGTTTGATGGTTACTCTGTGGGCGGTCTCTATGTTCAAGGCATCGATATGAGGCCATATTAGTAGGACATAACAAGGTTTTCTTCTTGTTTTCTTCTATATGTTTTATTTTGTATGAGAGAAAATTAACGATTGCAATGCACTGGTTTTACAAGGATGCCAGTTTTATTGGTGGAGTTATTAACTGTGATGCAATTTAGTATTCAGCATAAATGAATTTCATTTGTAGTTTTAATTATATTGAAAAAGAATGCATTTAAATTTTATTTATTTCTAATTCTAAGAATTGTATTTGAGGAAAAAATATCTTATTAAATTAAATTTTATTTATTTCAATTGACAATTTTAGTATCATATGATTAAGTTGCGACGAAAGTTGATAGAAAAGAAAAATAGATTCAACAAAATTACGAAAATGAATTAAATTACTAAAATGTCCATTAAGTTCAAACTCAATGTTCGATGCAAGATGGCAGGAGTATTTATGAAAAATCGAGTAGTCTGTCTAATAAAAAACTTAATTTTTTACTCAAAATTTGTCAGAAATTAAAGGTCCATTTAGTTTACAAAAAATAATTTCTAAAAAATATTTTTCTCATTTTTTAGTATTTAAAACAGAAAAAATCATAGTCAGCGGAAGATCTTCAAAGTCAACGGATAATCTGCTTCGTAAAATCCGGGAACTTACTTTCTTCAAAACCTACAGATGCAATTGGTAGATGCATCCAATATCTCAGCATTTAAGGTATCGAGTCCTGTCTACCATGCTAAAATTTCTCACTCTCTAATCTAATTTGTGGCTGTTTAAAAAAAAGGGGGAAAAGAAAACACGCTGACCTTTTAGGTCCGACCCATGTCTCTCTGTACCATTATTAAAGCAACAAACCAGCCCGAATTTTGCCAAAATTACCGACTGGACAACGCATGAACACATGAATTCCCCTTTACCATTGATCTTCACGCTATAACTAGTAACCAAAATCTTTAATATCATAGGGATCACCTTATTATAATTTTAAATTCCATGAATCTCATCCTTTATTTTCCCAAACTGTCCTGTTTTTATTTTTTTTAAAGAATTTCCCTTTACTATTGGGCTTCAATCTTTGAGGCCTTCAGACATGAAAAAGACAACCTTTATTTTCTAAAAAACGGAGACAACTTTATACTGTATAAATTCCTCACATCTTACAATTGATTTGTTTTATTTTTTTAATATTTTAAGGATTAAATTCTGAATTTATAATTAAAAATACATATAATTTTATTATTTGATTATGTAACTAATAATATTTTATTTATTTAGTGAGTAAAATATTTCTTCATTAATTTGTATATATTTTAAAATTAATTTATTATTTTTTTATAAAAGACAAGATATTTATGTAAAAACTAAAGAATTTATAATTTTTTTTATCGGTATGCTCACAGAATCTTGATCAACAAGGTAAAAATCCAGGAAAAAAGTACACACTAAAATATTTTCATTACCATTACAAACCAAAAAAATGGAAAATATTTCTCATAAAAATATTTCCAAAGTATTTCTAAATACTAGAAAATAACTTCTAGAAAAGAAAATATTTTCTATGAAGAATATTTTCCAGGGAGAAGTCAGAAGTTATTTTTCACAAACCAAATGAACCTTAAAAGTCATTTTCTAATTTTAAAAATGAAAAATAATTTTTTTTTCTAATTTAACCCATTATTATTAATTGCATATTGAAGCCAGAATTTAGCGTCTTTATGATACTAGTTCCCCTAATAATTTTCATCTATTAAAACATGCCCCAGATTACAACATATTTACAGAAGTTCATCCGATAACGGATGTTAAATCTCTTGTGATTAATAGAAAGCTCTCCCGTCCTTGGCAAATTGAGCCGTGGTTCACTCCATCTCGATGCTTTCTGCCAAATTTCCTCGATGTTTTGTACATATTTCTAGACAGGCTAATCAGGTTGCAGATAGGGTGGCTAAATGTGCTCTTACCAACTAATGCAAAATAACGGCAAGGCTTATCACTTTGTATTTTCTCTGCAGTTCAATTGATTACCAGGATGCCATAGACAATGAAAGAGCAGTAAATAAGTTTTTACACTCATAAATATTGTACCAAAACCTAAATGACAAACTAAATGCTTTCATGGCAACCAATGCCCAAACCAAAACTAAATATTTTCCAACAAACTGATGTGTAAACCTTGTATTACAATCATGTGTTCTAAAATGGCCAATGGGTGTGTAAGTTAAACATTACGTACCCATAAGTGTATCAAAAGTACCAATGCCTAGCCCATGTGGCATCAGCACCTCACCTCTCCTTAAAGATATCAATTTATTGTTAACGCGTCAGCACCTCACCTCTCCTTAAAGATATCAATTTATTGTTAACGCGTCAGCACCTCACCTCTCCTTAAAGATATCAATTTATTGTTAACGCAGCAACATCATTTAAGATGATTCTGTGTTGCAACTAACAGCCATTCATAAGGAGAGTCCGTGGACGTACTTGTCAGAGTGAATTAGCCATTCATTAAACATCCCATTAGAGATTGTATTTTTCAAAATAAACTATAAATTTAATTTCTCACCTCTAACAACAAAACTTTTTTATGCACTATAGCACTTGAAGGAATGTCCATGACTTTTCCCACTGCAACTGTTTTTCCTGTAGACACAGAATCCAAATTACACACGGCATGCCAAGGGCAATTCATGGATAATGAAAATGCAGTCACTTACCTTCAGTTCGAAGAGTAAACCTTCCTAGTTGTGCAAAATCTGAGAATCTCTCAACACAAATCAAGTTGTTAGCTGAGACGAGATTGCCAAAAAGACATAATTCATGAACCAAATTTCAAACAGAGAAATGTTTCAAATATAATTGGGCTAGTCTCTACTTCAAAGCAAAACTTCTTTCCCTGTTAAAAATAAACCACCAGTGAAAACCATTTGACAAAATGTAACATTGGTTAGAGATTATGACCACTTCAGACCTTTGAAAGCTTGGAAGGTGCACACATAACAGAACAATGCTACAGCTTTCATATATATAGAAATTATAGCAGTCCCACAATTATCAACCAGGAGGATGATACCATGTTGAATGGAAAACATTCATAATTCTAGATAATTCCAAATGTCAGAGAATAGACACTTTGGAATTTCCAAAAGAGTGAAAAGGCAAGAAGTGAACCTGAATGCAGCAAACAACAACATCACCATTCTTAACAAATAGAACTTTCTTTTTCATGGGATTCTTTGTCTTAGGATCACTTTGTAGTAGCAGCTCAACAATCTCACATTCCTCAACGAATGAATGAATGTGCAAGACAGCTTTATACCCAGCTGTGAATATTGTCTTAAATAGCAGAGACAGTCCAATACCATTAGATGCAAAGTTAATCAAATGAACTAAGAGATTACACATGAGAGAGGACTTCATAAAGTGGATTCATTCATATGTTGTCAAGCAACTCAAGGATCTGCAGCTGGACCGTAAATTCAGTGACTGTTGGCATTGGTTTTGTTGAGTAAAAAGGAAAAAAAAAAAGGATATACTTCAGCAAAACTTAAACAAAATCACAAATAACACTTCACAATCAAAATTAGAAAATAAGTATAGAGAGGGATGGTGAGGCCAAGACATTTTACTTGTTAGGATAGTCCCAGCATTGCCATCAAAAACTACAAAAGAATGGAAATATTTCAGCAAACAAATTTGTAAATTATCCTACCATTTACTTTTAACTCCACTTTTTACAATCTAATTTCCTCTTTGGGAATGAAACATATGAGCCTTCAGTTTTTGCAATCTTTAAGAGCACTTACCAACACTACACAAGACAAAACCAGATAATATGTCCTCTTCTTCTATTCCAGATAACTTAACCCACAGATTTTCACTGGGTCCAGCACGTGTAGCCTTATCTTCATCACAGTAAATGGAAGAACTTTCACTTGAGCCTGCCACCATGCATCTTGGACTTCAGAATCAAGGTTTAACAATAAATAAACAAATAAAGAAATTAAGGGAAAGACCAAGCACCTTGTTTGGCATGACCAATAAGGAATCACCCTCATGCATGGTACCAGATTCAAACTTTCCCATTACGACAGTTCCCATGTCTTTAAATTTGTCAATTATAGGCATCTTGCATATTTAGAAGACATATAGTTAATAGATGTGAAATGAAAGATTGATACAGCCTTGATAATTCAGAATCTACATTGCATAACTTTAATTTTAACAATTTAGGGTTCTATTTTATTATACTTAATTTTTTCTATGTTCAGGGGCAGACTATATAATTTCAGTCCCTTGATTTCGGTTTTCTTTTTGAAATATAATTTGGGTACATTTTGGTCATTCTAGGTTCTTTAGGAGTTAGATTTTTAGGTTTCATTTTCTAAGAATCCTAGCCAGTTATTTACTTATCTTATGTTTGGAATCAAAGTCATAGGGACTCAAGAAATAGTAAGAGTCGTTATAAGTAACTATGTAGCCTTTTCTATAACAAAGGGAGAAAGGGTATAGTTATACAATTATACTTCCTTCCTGGAGTTGTATGAATTCCTACAGTAATAAATCACACCTAAAAGGACCGTTTGGATCTCTAGGAGGAATTTCAACTGCATCCAAAACTTCAAAGAGGCAGGAGCCATTCCACCAGGGGCATATGCTCTTGTCCAATCTCGTTTTCATGTTGGAAACAAGAAGACCAGATATTGGTAGGAATTTGACATCTACAGGTTCAGAATAAGATGAAAAACACAATCAATATATAGAATTAATTGCTTTGCTTTTGTTGACCCTGAACAACCCAACACTCAAAAGTTTAATCATATACTGAAGCAAAATTGATGGGAAATATACGTGCAAAACACAACAAATTATGGCCAAAGAATACAAGAGCTAAGAATCTTATTCTGTAAACAAATTCACAACTTCCCTACATCAGTACTGTACATAACTCCACCGTTTAAATTACAAACTTGTTCGCACACACAAACTTGATAAGTATTTAGAATCATAAGTAGCTAAGCTGTCACATCTCAAAAATTCTAATCAAATGTAGTGAGGATAGCTTGCAGGCAGTGTTGCAAGAGTAGGGATTAGTTGATCAGGAGGCACTGGTCAACGCACCACCTTACCCCTTGGACTGCCCAGACGAACAGTGGTCTGCAACAAAATTGTGCCATAATACAAGACACAAAATCGAAAACTTTCTCAGAGGGCCCCGCTGATCTACTCTGCCGGAGTTATAGTCCGAAAGGTGGCAGAACACACCCTCACGCGCTGCTGGCCTCAATCTGACCTGCAAACCAGATACGACCCAGTTCCCAAAGGTTGAAGAAGGTTGTGCCAAGTTAAATGATTAGTTGCGTTTTGATGTTATTTTTGGCAGTTTAGTCCTTTAAGTTTCGTAGACATGCCGTGTAGCCTTAAATTTTCAACATTTCCAATTTCTGATTTTCTCCCATTTTTTAATGACTTTTTTGACATTTTTTTGGAAAAAAAATAATTAAAAGGCAAAACATCCAGACGCATTAGTTGCACCTGGGTGCTAGTCTGCCCACTGTGTTTTGCAATATTTTGCATGAAGAAGAAAGAGAGTTTCATTTGACAGAACTAAAAATCATCACTTAATCCGCTTTTATATTGGTCGAAAATTGCACATCTTATTAAAGCATTAATTAGAAATTATCCCTCCCATTTATCCCTCATCTTTTTCAACCTCATAGAATCATATCATAATTCACAAAAAACAGATGTACAAAAGCAATAAACTAACTATAAAACTTATAACCTTATCCAACAAAAATTAAATAATGGAGACAGGAAATCATATAAAAAATACAAAATCATGGTGTTTTAGCTTCAAAATAATTGCTTACCCGTGCATCCAAAATGATAAACCTAGTATTTTCAGTCTCAAAGCGTGCTCTTCCCACTTCCACAGAATACCCTACAATCAATTTGTGTGAGATTGTGCAAATAACAAATAGCAATGGCATGTATCAGGAAAAAAAAAATGCAACCATGGTTATTATTATTATTTTTTAAATAGCAACAATATGGAATTGAGAAATGTAAACATGGTTACCACATCTTAGAGTACCTTAATTCTCTCCTCTTCATTAGTGTCCATAATATATGCCGTATACCTAACACAGAAGATAATTATGGTCAAACAATGCAAGAGCTGAGACTCTTATTGTCTAGCACATTAAACATTTAACAATCTCAAGAATGCTTGATGTGATGCTGAATCAAACAAACTTTAACAAGAAACAGAACCAAAAACTTTGAGAGCAACTTATATTGGCATTTGATAGGATAAAGAGAATATATTCAGAATTTTTTCAACATTTTGAAATCCATTAGTCATTCAAAACTTGTGATAAATTCAAAAATGACTTCCAAACTTAAAAGCAATTCCTCCAAATAGTAGTTCTAATCCGAATATCCTCAAATTAAATAATTTGAATCAAAAAAATCCCAATTTCAAGTTTTCAACCAATGAAACTTAAAACATACTTTTAATCTCATCCACAACCTTTGTCTAATCATCCAAAGCAAACTGCAACTAAAAATTTTAAAAGGAAAGAAAAAACCATCCACTTTCCTCAACAAGTTGTAAAAGAAATGCTACAGTTTAAGGCTGGCAATAGAACCCTTTTTATAGCTTCTTAACTCTTAGCAACAGCCAACAATTTGATCCTTACCATATCAAAAATGTCTTAAGATTTGATCAATGGTCTGGTCCAGTCCTAGCTGATTCAATATCACACTAAATTATTTTTTACAAAAGATTTTACCCAAAATTGTTCTATGCTAGCAATTATTTTCAACATAGATAGCATCAGGGATCAAATTTATACTTTCAAGTTCACATAACAAAACATATATTAGCAATACCAGAATAAACCAGCATAATCCTAGCCTAACTTCTAAAATCAAGTTCCTCATTGGATGATTCTCTTGGCTTGCAAAAACAAACATATCAAAACAATCAACCTTTTAATAGTGAGAAACAGAATAAAAACAATATGTTGCCTTGAATGGTTACATGGTATATAAAGAACGGGAATTTAAAGTAACATAGGACAAGAAACCATTTTTCAAATTGCTTTGTGTTGCATTATCGTTCTCTTAGGCAAATAGTCTATAAGTAACGTAGGAAAAGCATCTATTTTCCATGTATAGAATAAAGAATAAATGAAAAGTCTCACCAGCTTTCTCTACTTTTGTCTTTTGCTTCTTTCTCATATATATTTTTGGACCATACGGTCATCAACCTGATTACTAAGGAAGAGTATCTGTCCTCCAATTGTTGACTTCCCAGCATCTAAAAACGATTATAAAACAAAGCCAAAACATACCATTTGGATGAAAAGTCTAGGGAGATAGGACCATCAACATTTGTGATTAAAAAGAGCCAACATTCCTCACTTTGACCAACAATTGTACCTTATAATGCCAAATAAAACAAAGTTGCCAAATTGAAAAAGTTGAAACTTTAAACAAACTAAAAACACATTTCCATAAAAATAACATATAATATATAAAAAGAAAGTTTAAGACTTTTCAAAAATACGTTGATATTAAATAGAAACGGAAAATCATAAGTTTTTTTTTTCTACCATAAGATTTTGATTTAAGATTTTGAAAGCCCTTAATTATTCAAGCGTAGATACAATATATTCTAGGAAACAATTACAAAGAAACCTTTCAATCTCTTTACTTAAAAAAATTTCTTTACTAAAAAAAGCACATTTTTATTTTTTTTTTAAATTTTTATAATTTAATGTGTAATATGTGTAAAAAAATAATAAAAAAAATTAAATAATAAAATTTAAAAACTAAAAAAGAGTTTTTTAAAGATAAAAAAATAGCTTTTTTTGAGTCAAAGTACAAGGTCCAAAATATGTTTTAACTATTCTTACTTACCATAATTACTTATTTATAAAAAAATTCAACATTTGTGTGCCTGGCCATAACAACATCTCAAGTGTGAGTGGAGGTTATTAGTACCAAATATTTTGTTAAGGGTAGTAATTTTAACTCTAATTTTACTAGTTTATATTTTTTT